AAAAAAAAAAAAAAAAAAAAAATCTAATTGATGTATTTCCTAAACGATTTCGAGTCGACTGTCTGTATCAAGTTTACGTTTACCGATTTTTACGCTAGTTCTTGTACCACGTATGAGTTGTTTTGAACTTTTTACTATGTTCTGATCAAATTTCGAAAAATCACGGTAAGAAATAACCTTAAAATAAGGTAGTGGTTTTTTAGGTCATCATTAGGAAGTATTGTACAGTAATGAAACATGTTGATTATTAATTACTATACAGCAGCGAGTTTCAAGTTCAAATGAGCGTCAATACGAAAATTTGTTCTGAATTAAAAAAACTTACTAGGATAAGGATAAGTCACATGATTTCATTTATACATTTTATTTAATAAATTTTTCAAAAACATTTGAAACATATTTATCATCGAGATAAAAAGCACATCGTTGGTTTGACGATTTACGTTCATTGTCTTTCTTCCTGTTTCATATTTGCTGGAGTGGCTGCACTGACCTAGAAAAAATTTTAACACCATTTGAAGATTATATAATGACAGTATTTGTTGCTTATTATATTTTCTTTCTTCAATTTTTCAGTAACAACTTATTATTTTTTTTTTTTTTTACGCACTAAACATTAACATTTTCTGGTATGATGTGATTAAAACATTGTGTTCGAGTGTGTGTACATCTGAGAGAAAAAAACGGACCAACAAAACTTTGATTAATTATCGGCGTACCTTATCTTCGCCAAGTACGAGCATAGAAGGCAGCAAAACAACGTCACACGAGTACCCCGTGGCAGGGGCAGCCGCGCTTCTCATAGCTTCGGATTCCTTGGGATGAACATCGTGATTTTTCGGCTGCTCGTTTCCAGTCTCTACATCCCTGTTCATCGTCTCCTTGTAATCGCTCTGCTCGCGAGTGAAAAAATCGCAGTAAAATATCAGCTGAATGGCACCAGCGGCAACCGCAATTCGATCAAAATTGGATTCCACATAGAAGTAGTTGTATACTTCGCTCAGTAGATGGAAGGATTTGTACAGTGTCAATAAAATTATGTAGTTGTAGATCGTCTTTTCGATTTTTTTTGCTTTCGAGCAAAAGTAAAGCTGGGGAATGATGACCATTGCCTCGAGAAAGACGCTGAACGCGCGAAAGACGTTGATGATATCAGTGCCATGGTTTACCAATTGGCACAACACTAAGCTTGAAAGTACGAGTATGTCGAGTTTTCTGGAAAATTATGCAAGATTTGGAACCATTAGATCTGCTACAAAAATGAGAAATTTTTTATCGGAATAATCAGCTACCAGGTTTTTTTTTTACACATTAAAAAAAAATAAATTATTGATGGATTATATTCGATGATTTGATTGTTCAAAATATGTTTGTGGTATACTAATTGCAACAAAAATCGAAATAATAACTTTTGAATAATTTATTTCTATAATGAAGTATTACAAAAGTATTGAAAAAAATGAAAACAATAATTTAATTACATAAATTATTGAACTACTTACTTGAAATTATCGTATTCTCTTTGACATGATTTTTTCGAGAAATACAGTAAAAAGGTAATGCTGTATGACATAAATAGCAAAATGATTTTTGTTAAATAACAACTCGTAGGGTCAATATAGTAACTCGAAATTAAGTCCAGAAATCTTGTAGTAAAAACTATCGAGTAGAGAAATTGCGTTTGACCACTAATACCTAAAAAAATTTAACACAAAATTAATGTTAACGTATGAATAAAACGAATTAAAATAACGCTAAATGAATAAATAACAAGAAAACAAAAAATTCCACACAAAAATATAACTCAAAGAAACATCTATAATTTTATTTTTGTTTTTTTAGACTTGAATATATTCTTGAGTAGAATACAAAGAGATAAAAAACGTAGACCATTTCGATTGAAGTCAATTTTATATTGGAATCAATTTTATTTAAAATATAGTTAATACGTAGAACTTGTTTTTAGAAATTATAGTTTCGTTTATGAATTAAAAAATTAATCTGTGTCCCCAACAGGAAGATAAATAAAATTTTTTTTTTTTTAATTTGTTCACCTATGTTGGAAAATATGTTTAAACTTGAAAAAAGAATGCGAAAATTATAAAAAATATTTTTGATT